AGGTGTTCATTTTCATGTTCACAGTCGCAGCTACTCAGAGGCTGAGGCAGGAGGATCCCTTGAACGCCAGGTTGCTGTGTGCGAGGCTGATGCCATGGCACTCTAGCCTGGGCAACAGAGTGAGACTTTGTCTCATCTCAAAAAAAAAAAAAATTAAAATTAAAAATAAATAAGTCAAGGGCGGTGCCTGTGGCTCAAGGAGCAGGGCACCGGCCCCCCATACTGGGGATGGCAGGTTCAAGCCCAGCCTCGGCCAAAATTGAAAAAAAATAAATAAATAAAAAGAATTAAATATCATGACCAAGAAGGACTGATCCCAGGAATGCAAGTTTGGCTTAACATCCAAAAATCAATTAATGTAATGCATGTTAATATAAAAAAGGACAAAAACCAAATGATCATCTCAATTGGTGCAGGAAAAGCATTTGACAAAATCCAACATCCACTCATGATAAAAATGCTCAACTAGAATTAGAAGGAAATTTCCTCAACCTGATAAAGGACATCTACAAAACAATTCACGACTAACACCAAGCATCAGGGTGAATGACTGAATGTTTTCCCTCTAAGATCATGGTGTCTGCGATTGCCTCTTCTATTCAACATTGTAATGGAGATTCTAACTAGGGCAATCAGGCAAAAATAAAGAAATAAAAAGTGGGCGGCACCTGTGGCTCAAAGGAGTAGGGCGCTGGCCCCATATACCAAAGGTGGCAGGTTCAAACCAGGCCCCAGTCAGAAACTGCAAATAAATAAATAAATAAATAAGAAATAGAAAGCATTCAGATTGGAAAGTAAGGACTAAGATTATCTGTTTATAGGAGACATAATCTCGTAAGGAAGGAATCCGCTAGAAAACAATTAGAACTAAAAAACAAGTTCAGCAAGGTTGTAGGATACATGAAGCCATACATAAAAATCAACTGGATTTTTATATACTAACAGTGACCATTACAAAAATGAAAATGAAGAAAACAACCCCACTTACAATAATATTGAAGAATAAACTAGGTATAACTTTAACAAAATAAGGCAAGACTCTGTTGACAAATGATCTAAATAAAGACAAACATGTTCACAGATATGAATACTTAATAACTTGAAGAGGGCAATACTCCCTGAACTGATCTCCCAGACTCAATCCTGGCTGGCTTCTCAGTACAATTTGACAAATTGATCCCCAAATTCATAAGAAAGTGCAAGAAATCCAGAATAGACAAGACAGTCTTACAAAAAAGAAAACAAAGTTGAAAGTTAAATCATGCTTTATGATTTAAAATCTTTTTTCTTTCTGTGCCCTAGGCATGAAACAGCTCTGGCCATCAACCGAGACATCAAGCTAGGATGAACAAAGGGCTGTCAGTCTACTCTGCCCCCGACTGATATAAGAGTAACACCACCAATGAGGTGCCTCTTTGCCCATTACCAGGGGTTATGATTTAAAATCTTAACTACAAAGCTATAGTAAGCAATAAACAAGACCATGTAGTATTTGGCATAAGGACATACAAATCAATCCAATAAGAGTCCAGAAATAAATGCTTACGCTTAGAGTTAATTGACAAGAGTGCCAAGACAGTTCAATGAGGAAAGAATAGCTGTTTCCACAAATGGACAACTGGTTATCTACATATAAAAGAATGAAGTTGGACCCCTACTTCATACGATGGACAGAAATCAACTGAAAATAGACCACAGACGTAAATGTAAGAGCTAAAACTATAAAACCTTTAGAAAGAACTTTCTGAGTAAATGTGTATGACCTTACTTTATGCAAAGCCATCTTAGACTCACCACAAAAAATACAAGCAACAAAAGAAAAAATACATTAGACTTCATCTAAATCAAAAACCTTTGTATTACAAACAATACCACCAAGAAAATAAGAAGATAACCCTCAGGAGAAAAAATATTTGTAAATTATATATCTGATAATAATATTTACAAATTATGCATCTGGATATAATAACTTATATCCAGAATATATAAAGAATACTCAACAGTGGGTGGCACCTGTGGCTCAGTGAATAGGGTGCTGGTCCCATATACCGTGGGTGGTGGGTTTGAACCCACCCCGGCCAAACTGCAACAAAAAATAGCCAGGCATTGTGGTGGGCGCCTATACTCCCAGCTACTTGGGAGGCTGAGGCAAGAGAATCACCTAGGCCCGAGGGCTGAAAGATTACTGTGAGCTGTGACGCCACAGCACTCTACTGAGGGCAACAAAGTGAGACTCTGTCTCTAACAAAAAAAAATATACTCAACAGTAAAAAAAACCAAATAACTCAATTACAAACTAAACAATGGATTAGAACAGCCATTTCTCTACAGAACATACACAAATGACCAATAAACATGAAAAAATGTTCAGCATCATTAGAAATCAAATCAAAATCGAATGACACACTACTTCAAACCCACTAAGATGGCTATAGTTTCAGAAAGATAACAATTGTCATTAAGGATGTGAAGAAATAGGAATCCTCATATATTGCTGGTAAGAAATACGTATAATGCAGCCACTCTGGAAAACATTTTAACAGCTTTTCAAAAGTTTAATCACACTGAGGCGGGAGGACTGCTTGAGGCCAGAAGTTCAAGATCAACCTAAGCATGAGTAAGATCCCCATTCCTACGAAAAACAGAAAAATTAGTATGGTGTGGTGGTACACACACATAGTCCCAGCTACTTGAGAGGTTGAGACAAGGGGACTGCTTGAGTCCACGAGTCTGAGGTTATAGTGAGCTATGATGATACCACTGCACTCTAGCCCAGGTGACAGGGCAAGATATTGTCTCAAAAAAAAAAAAAAAATGTAATCACAGAATTACCCTATGACCTAGCAATTCCATTCCTAGGTATATACTGGAAAAGAAATGAAAGTATATCCACACTAAAACCTGGACATGACTACTCACTGCAGCACTATTCAAAATAGTCAAAACGTGGAAACAAATGTCCATCAAATGCAAAATAAACATCTAGCAATTTTTAAAAAATGAAATACTGTTCCATTCTACAGCATGTGTGAAACTTGAGAACACTATGCTGAGTAAAAGAAGTCAGTCACAAAATATCACATACTATACAATTCCATTTTTAAGAAATGCCCAGAATAGGCAAATCCAGAGACAGAAAGCAGGTTAGCGGTTACCAAAGATGGAACCTTTGTATGGAGTATAATTTTTAGGGTGATGAAAATGTTTTAAAATTAGACAGTCATGTTGGTTGGACAACTCTGTAATCATACTAAAAACCAATAAATAATTCCAGCAAAAGAGTAAATTTCAGTATTTGTGAATTCAACAAATCTCAAGAAAAATATTATATATTACAATATGTTGAAACCTTCTAGAATAAAGAATAGACCTTCTCAAGGACACTTTTCTCCATGACCTAATAAAAATCAGTAATTTCAACAACAGCAAAAATAAGCTATTTAAGATAGGACAGGGTAAATCAACTGTAACTGATAAAAGCAAAACTGGACTTCACTAAGGACCAAAACCAAAAGCAAAGTGGAAGATGCAATGGATTCTGGTCAAATGGTCCTGCACATGACATTTCCCTATGCCTAGGTAGATGTTCTTAGAAACCTCACTGGGCTCTCATAAGTAGTAAATGAGAGAAACTATAGATAGCACCCACCTAGCACATAATAAGGACACTCAATGTCTAGCAGACGTTTGGTCACTTCCCTTCCTGCAGTCTCTTTCTACCAACTCATACAGCCCCCAGTGTTCCTTGTCACAGCGGGTATGTCCTCCACTTGTCAGACAGGACAATGTCTTTTACCTACTGCAACTTCTACTTTATTTTATTTAGCCCCACCCACCCATTCCAACACCAAAATAAAGTCTCAACCAGTACTTTTACATCCGACTTCTCTAATCTACCAAAACAGAACTTTTCTACCTAGGCACAGAATCTACCTAGGACATAAATTCTACTTCCACTCCCAACACTTATCTCTGCTAAATATATCCCACATATTTCTTCCATTTTATATAATTACAATATGTAAATAGTTCAGATTTGTCTCCGAAACTATATTTTAAAACTAATCAAACAAATCTTACTGACAACTAACTTTTAAAATAAAGTGGCTCGGCGCCTGTGGCTCAAGTGGCTAAGGCGCCAGCCATGTACACCCAAGGTTCGAATCCAGCCCAGGCCCGCCAAACAACAATGACGGCTGCAACCAAAAAATAGCCAGGCGTTGTGGTGGGCGCCTGTGGTCCCAGCTACTTGGGAGGTTGAGGCAGGAGACTCGCTTGAGCCCAGGAGTTGGAGGTTGCTGTGAGCTGTGATGCCATGGCACTCTACCCAGGGGGAAAGCTTGAGGCTCTGTCTCAAAAAAATAAAAAATAAAAAATAAAGTATCGGCTCAGTGCCCATAGCTCAGTGAGTAAGGTACCAGCCACATACACGGAGGCTGGTGGGTTGGAGCCTGGCCTGGGCCTGCTACCACAATGACATCTGCAAACAAAAAAAATAGCCAGCTACTGTGGCGGGAGCCTATAGCCTCTGAGTGTAAGCCCAAGAGTTTGAGGTTGCTGTGAGCTTGACACCACCGCACTCTACCAAGGATGACACAGTGAAACTCTGTCTCAAAAAATAAATAAATAAATAAATAAATAAAGTATCATCTTCTCTAAACTTGCGTGCTGCTGATGAGTAACTATCACTTGTCTGGTTTTTTTGATACGTTATTAGCTTTAAAATTTTGACCTATAATAAACTAAAACATTCTTTACTTTAATAAGCCACATATTTCATAGAACAACTAAAGATAAGGCTTTGCTACTAAAAGACCCCTTTTCCTCTAGACACAAAGGAGGAAAGAAAGGTCCATTGTTGTACAAAGCTATTAGCTACTGTGGGAACTTAGGAAGAGAATGTAAAGGAAATGAACTCCACCCATTACTACCAACACTTAAGGTTAATGCGGAGGGATAAATGGTGAAAACAGTTAGAAATAACTATAAAATATACTTACAGCCTCAAACTCCAAATGACTATCCTTTAGGAAATCTTGAATTTTGTCCTTAGGTAAAATACTGAATCGAAATCTAAGGAGATCCATTTCTTGTTGAATGAACCAGCGTCTGAGATCTTCACTGAAATGGAGATAAGGAAATCACGCATACAAATTAAAGAGACAATAATAAGTATGTGCAAGAAGTTTTTTTGTTTTGTTTTGTTTTTTGAGACAGAATCTCATTTTGTCACCCTCAGTAGAGTGCTCATGGCATCACAGCTCACAGTAACCTCAAACTCTTGGGCTCAAGCAATTCTCTTGCTTCAGCCTCCCAAGTAGCTGGGACTACAGGGACCCACAACACCACCTGGCTATTTTTGGAGATGAGGATCTCACTCTGGCTCAGGCAGGTCTTGAACCTGTGAGCTCAGGCAATCCATCCACCTCGGCCTCCCAGAACACTAGGATAACAGGCGTGAGCCAAGATGCCCAGCCCTCCAAGAAGTTTTAATAAAGCAATATTCAACATAAGCAAGATGCCAGCAGAGCGCAGTTAAAAGCATACAAGTTCTCTATTATGATTAGGAGAATATAAATACCACATACCACAACCATGAGGGATGTGGTGAATTTGAGGTAGAGGGGTGTTATAAAATTTAAAGTATTAAATATAGAATGCTCCCAGCCTAGCTGCATTACTACTGAATAACATAAAAGAAATTAGTTCATTGCATTTAATGTAACTGCAATAGTCACTTATATTAGAAAATAGGACACTCCTTTAGCCTGAGGTAGTTTCATCAAAGCCAAATTATCCAAAGGTAACTTTATGTTTGAATTGATTATGATCAGATAACTTCTGCAAAGGAAACTTTGCCTACAGCTTTATAGTTTATAAATTTGCAAAAGTGTAGTATGTATATATATACCACAACATTTAAAATCCATAAAACTACATTAATTTGTAAGATAGCTATATAATGGACATTGTTGATATTTAATAAAATAATTACTGCATGTAAAATATGATTTCATTTTTTTGAAGTGACTTTCACAGATTGTGAGCAATTCAATTCCTATGATAAACTACATATGCTATTTTACAAAATAAAAACCCTAGGACCAAAGCTGGTGAGTAATTTCTTAACTCTTATCTTGGGATAGTAAGTAATTCAAGAGTCTTAATAGCATAAGCCTTGTATTAAAAGGAAACAGAAACAACTATATTATTTGGCCAAAATTAATATGGGCAGAAAAAACAAGGTTTAAACCAAAAAAAGCAACTACCTCCTTCTTCCTCTGGATGGCACTATTGACCTACCAGAACCCAAGACCAACCAAAACTATCTTCACTCTAATAGGCCAGTACATTTCAAACTCTAAAATCCTGTACCAAATTCAATATGGGTTTAATTCATTGTTTCCTAAAAATATTACCCACTTTTTTCCAGGAATGTATCAAAAGGCCTTCATCCTAATAAAATTCCATCCAATTTTAAATCCCAAGTGAAAAGCCTCTCCATAGTTAAACAGTGTTTCATTAGACAAAATTTTGCAATAAATTTTTTCAGTATTTTTTCAGTAAACTTTCAAACAGTTCACTTCAATAGTATTCAATCCATGATCAAGTGGTTCCTGATGATATTCTGAGTTTTCCTACATTTTAGCATAACATACCAACTTTCCACGTACTAACATATAATCCAGATTTGACTGAACATATAAATGGATACTCACGATTGGCAATAAGCAAGGCGCACAATAAAATGAGAAATATGATCTTTTCTTCGTGGTTCATATTCATCTTCTAAGTTTTCCTTAAAAATAATGACACATGAATAAAATAAATGCAGTAGAATGATAACAGGGATAAAGAAATACTGAATCCACTTAAGCCAATGGTAAAGTTTAAAAAACACACTTCTTAATACACTTTCCAGGACAATTATCATTTTATTTAAGATATCAATCAAGTAAAACTAAGCAGTGAGCTCGGCTCAACAAACCCCCCCTGGATTTGGACCCCACTATATTCTTCCTACCAAACCCTCTTTCCTCACTTTCTTATCCAGCCTATGTCCAGGATACTCACCACTTCAATCACTTCTCACATCAACTCTCAGCTCCTCTAACTTGAACTATTTGGCAAAACTACACAGTCTCACTCCATTGTCCAAGGTAGAGCGCTGTGCTGTCATAGCTCACAGCAACCTAAAACTCCTGGGTTTAAGCGATCCTCTTGCCTCAGCCTCCCACTACAATGCCCAGGTAGTGTTTTCATTTTTAGTAAAGACAGTTTCTTGCTCTTGCTTAGGCTGGTATTAAACTCCTGAGCTCAGGCAATCCACCCGCCTCAGCCTCGCAGTGTGGTAGGATTACAGGCATGAGCCACCATGCTTGGCAAAACCTGTATTTTTAAATTAATCTATGGCTACATTCTGCAGTCCTATTCCCAAAATGCTAAGAACCTCTAGCCAAAAAAATATCAATTATGGGAATTTGGAATATAAAAATTCATGGCCTATAATCTTGGCTGGCCCCTTACCAATGCCATGTAACATTTATTTAAGTCCAAAATAGTACCTACTATATATCAGGCACCATTCTAAGCATTTTTAACACATTAACATTATAACTCACTTAATCCCTCTTTCAAAAGCCTATGAGGGAGACACTACTGTTTCTTTACCTCAAAGGTGACGGCACAGACAGATTATATAACTTGAGCAGAGTCACAAACCTTGCCCAAGGTAAACAGCAGGATTGGGACCTGACATGTAAGTATCTCCCCCTTACTTCTTAGAAAATCCTCCACCTTCAGCTGCTCCAAGGCCCCTATGTAGCACCTTTCTGTCTCTCAACAGATGACTTCAGCTCCTTTACAAATAAATAAAGGTCACTAGGCAGACTCCCTGGACCCCACAAGTTGCATTGATTCCCCTGCATCTCTGTGAACAAAGCATCTCTCCTTCCTCATACATTAAGCTAATCCCTGCACCAAACCCTCCAACCCATTTGCTCTTGCCTCTTAAGGACCTTGATTTATCAAATGTTCACTCAAAGTAGCTTCAGCCTCCCCACTTCTTCTTTCTAGTCTAGCTCTTTTGTTCAGCTTATAAACATATTTATCTCCTTTCATATTTAGTAGAGAGAGAGAGAGATGATAGACAGATACACACACACACACACACACACAAATATATACATCTTCTCTTTTCCCTAAAACATCCTCAATACTGCCCTATTTCTCCTCTGCCTTTTCGGCTAAATATCTTACAAGAATACATATTCCATATCCACCTCTCCACACTCCTCCTGTAACACTGTCAATTGTTCTGACTTCTGCTGTGGCTATAATGGCCCATCCAACTCCCAGATCCAATGGAGACCGTACACCTCATCTTACATCATCTGTCTTAAGCTTCTAAAACTATTGAGGTTAATAGCAGCACCACAGAAACAAAATGCTTGCATTCAAGTCTTGGCTCCACCATTTATCATCTATGAGCCCAAACAAAATCTGGTACACAGTAAGCATAATATAAATGTCCACTGCTGTTATTCCCTATTATTATATTATTAATATCATGATCATTATCACCGAAACTCCAGCCTTCCTTGGCTTCTATGTACTGCTATCCTGCTTCATGTCCTACTATTCAGAAAGATCCTTCTCAAAGTCCTTCCCAGCCTCCTCCAATTCTATTTCACCTTAACACAAGATCTTGTCCTCCGTTATCTTTCCTTCTCACGCAAATATTTCCCTAGGGTGCTCTCACCTACTCCTGATGACTTCAACTTTGCCCTACATCTACACTCCAACTATGGATGTCTTCCAAATCCACATCTATAAAAAAATAAAAAAATAAATAAAATAAATCCACATCTATACATCCAAATGTCCACAGACATCTCCACAGGCATCTCAAATTCACGTCAAGAACTAAGCTTTACATCCTAAGACTTGCTTCTCCTCCCATATATCACATCTCAAAATATCACCACCATCCACCTAATTGCCCTAAATAGGAATCTGGGTGTCATTCACATAACTGTTCTCTCTTCTCTCTCTCTGCATGCAGAGAGTAAAACTTTTGATTCTACCTTCTTATTATCTCTTCAATGGGTCCCCATCTCCCATTTAATTCAGACTTTCATTTCCAGCAGCGGTTCTCAACCTGTGCGTCGCAACCCACAGGAACTGTATTAAAGGGCTGCAGCATCGGGAAGGTTGAGAACCACTGATTTCCAGGCTCCTAACTGGTTTCCGTTCTATCAGATGTGACCCTGTCGATCTGCTATTGGCAGTCATCTTCTTAAAATAAAAATCTAACCACATTTGTCAAGATGCATGTCCAGCACTACCTCCTCTGGAAAGCCTTCCCAACGCTCCCCTGTCTGGGCTAGGTAATTATACTTGCTTCCCGGAGCACACATCTAGTGACAGCATTCAGCATCACATATTGCACAGGAGACACCTGGCAATGTTTGGAGATGCCCAATGGGCAGGAGCCAGGGATGCTACTGAGCAGCCTACAATGCACAGGACAGTTCTTGCCGTAAGAATTATTAGGCCACAAATGATGACAGTCCCAAGGAGAAACCCTGCCAGATTATACTCACCTGACTACATGTCAATCACCCCTAAGAGACGCAGATACAGGTACCTTCAGGCAGAGTCCACATTAGTCTTTATAAAAACCTTGTGCCTCACAAAAGACATTTCTTATGACTGACACTCAGTACATGAGCATACACAAACCGAAAGAACTTTGCTTTTTCTTTTTTACTTACTCTGTAGGAAAACTTGAGCTTTCGAAGCTCAGCTTCTAACTTACTCTGGTATTGCTCAGTTCCTTTCACATAGCTCACACCAAGATGTTCGACTGATTTTAGCACTAAAAACAAGAAAGAGAAAAAAAGGATAATGCAGGATAATGTTAAAAAGTGAAATCTAAGACAAAAATCTATGGATAGCAGTTCCTTAATTACTTACAGAATATGACAAGTTACAACCATCTTATTGTCTGCAAGTATATTATACACAAAGTACACATGCTTGTAACAGGATAACGTCCATCTATGTACAGAAAATATCCATGTCCCACAGCATGATATAATACTCAGGATTCTCAATCAGGAAAAGAGGGACAAATGGTGGATAATCAGTGCTGTGCTGAGCTACCACTGCTAAGGAATGGAAAAGTGTGTCAGTATGAAAAAAAAACTAAGCTCACCTTCATATAGAGCAGTCTGCTTCATTTATTCACAACAGCCTCATCAGAAAATTAAAAAAAAAAAAAAAAAAAAAACCACCCCTTCCTTTCCTAAAAAGGAGAGAACACAACAGTGAAGAAACCGGGCCATGCAATCAGCCAAATGAACTATCCTGAACAGCTGTTATATAAGGTCCAGAGCTTCCTAAAGCCCCTTATCAGTCCTTCCTCAGATGAATTCTTCTTTTAAGCCATTTCTACATTCAAGAATGAAAAATTTGCCTCCTGAGTACAAACCAATGTCCCAAAGGTACCTGCTTATTATGGTATCAAAACCAAAGTAATTATCTTCCTCTCATTCCCAGTCCTCTTCCTGGTGCCCCATGTCCATTAGCAGAGTTTTTATCCACCAGATCATCTAAGTCGGAACTTCAGCCACCCCAAACACTCGCCAAATCCTATCAATGACCTTTTCAGCATCCCTTAAATCTTTCCCTTCCTATCATTCCTATTGTCACTAGCTTAGTTCAGGTCCATATCAATTTACCTCTTAAGTTCCAAACCCAAGGATACTTTTCAAACATCATCTTAATCCTCACGAAGCATGTGACACTGCTAAGCTTTCTTAAACCATTTTCTCCCTTGGTTTCGCTTTCATATGACAAACAGGGACTAAGTACTCCCTCTCTGTATTAGCAGTTCTTACCTTTCCCTCTAAGAATGATTAACAGTATCTCACTTTTTCTGATTTTCCTACAAGGATATGCTAGAACGTAAGTTTTGAAGATAGCACTAGCATTATGTTTCAGTTCCGATCTAGCTCATTCTTTTTCCCAGCAACACAATAAAGGAAGCAGGCCCCCAGGACAGTGCCCAAACCCTTCTTAGTTCCCATTATTAAGTATACCATTAGCATGGCCAAAATGCCCTTGGTTATCCAAACGTTTTCATTCACCCTGAACACTGATTTCACTGTTCTCCCAAACATGACATTCTCTTTCACGCCTCCAAGACTGTGTAAAGGCTATCATCTCAGCTTGGAAAAACCCTTCACTTCTCTGTTGGAAAATTTCTACTCATCCTTCAAGGTCCAGATCGTATTACAACTTCTCTAAATTTTCCTTAATCAGACTAAGTCAGTCACTCCAACGTCTGTTTCTTTTTTTTTTTTTTTTTTGTAGAGACAGAGTCTCACTTTGTCACCCTGGGTGCCGTGGTATCACACAGTTCACAGCAACCTCCAACTCCTGGGCTTAAGCGATTCTCTTGCCTCAGCCTCCCAAATAGCTGGGACTACAGGCGCCCACCCCAACGCCCAGCTATTTTTTGGTTGCAGTTCTGCCGTGGCCTGGTTTGAACCGGCCACCCACGGTATATGGGGGCGGCGCCCTACTCACTGAGCCACAGGCGCCGCCCCCCCCCACTTCTGTTTCAACAACACTACTATTTACTTCTACTAGAGCAGTTAAAATACGAATTATAACTATTATTTTGGAAGTCTGTCTCTATGTACTAGAATACAGTTTCAACGAAGATAACATATTATTCTTTCCCACTTAGAACATAGCTGCACTCAATAAATGTTCATTGTATGGTAAATAAATGAATGAATACTAAATTCTCAAGAGCAAATCCTCAATAAATATTTGTTGAATGGATCTCTGAATGAAAGAAATAAATTACTTCCATTCATTCTCACAAGGATAAATGCATTCTGAATATATTCAAGAATATATGCATTCTGGGCAGCGCCTGTGGCTCAAAGGAGTAGGGCGCTGGCCTCATACGCCGGAGGTGGTGGGTTCAAACCCAGCCCCGGCCAAAAGCTGCAAAAAAAAAAAAAAAAAAAAAGAATATATACATTCTAATTTAAATATCACTTACATTTAAGTCTATCAATAGCGAAGTTTTCAAACTCTGTCAAAGATATGTTTTCAGAAGGTGGTTCCAAGTAAAACTGAAGGCAATGAGGGTAGGAAGTATTTTTCTGGTCACCTGCCAATCTCAGCTTTCTCCTCTTTCCTCCAGAAAACTGCATCTTGGTTACCTTAGAGGAAGGCACATAGAAAGGTTAAAATGATGAAAAATAAAGTTGAAAAGAAACCAGAAAAGGAAATAATTCCTCACACATAGAAAATAATATTGACGTTAACAAAATGTTAGGCTCGGCGCCTATAGCTCAACCGGCTAAGGCGCCAGTCACATACACCTAAGGTTGCGGTTCGAATCCCCAGCCCGGACCCGCCAAACAACAATAACTGCTGCAACCAAAAAATAGCCGGGCGTTGTGGCGGG